TCGGCAAAAATGGAACACAGCAACTGAGCCTTTAGCTGTAGGAACCGTAGTTGTGCTCACTAAGGAGAATACGCCGCCTCTCCATTGGCCGTTAGGAATTGTCGAAGAGGTCTTTCCCGGTTCCGACGGAGTAATTAGGGTAGCTCGCGTTAAGACCACGGTTGGATCTTACATGCGTCCTGTTGTCCGTTTGTGCCCCTTGCCTCTTCCATAATTTAAATTAGCTTTCTAGATTAGAAATTGTAGTTGAATTTAGGTAATCTTAGCGTTAGTTAGTTATTTTGTTAGTTTGATCTTAGCTCTAGTTGTTTTAGTTATTTTTTGAAGGAAATCCTTCAAGGGCGGGGGAGATGGTTGCGCGGAAAACCATTCATATTTATTTTATTTGACGGTAGGCTTGTCAAATCGTTTATCCCTTTCCAAACGATATCATTCATACCCTCCTATCGACTCATCGGGGTGGTGGGGTGGGAGGGAAAAGAAGATGATTCTAGAATATTACGCGATCATCGCAACCGAAGGAATAAAAAGGCACGCGCGGCCGACGCGCACTCTCTTCCCGCCGCGCTCGTCGTTGGAACCACACCGCTTAAGACAATAGTATCATAGAAGGGCTATTGCCCACGCGCACCGCTAGTATATCCGCTTTAGCCTGGAAGCAGTCGAGCTCCAGGAAACCCGCCTCACCTCGTGTGAGAAATAGTCGCGCACCGCACTCTCTCCCAACGTATCACCGGACAAGAAAGGCTGGGGCCCCAGAGAGTCTACCCAGAGTGTCTTCCAGAAGTTGCAGCAACTTAGTGCCCAAGCCGCACAGAAGCAACACCCCGGTGAGTGAATATTCCTTACTAGTTACTGCTTGATATAATTGTGTCCGCTCCAATTTATTTTCTCCTAATCAAGCAGGATTCTTTTCATAGATTTGGCAAATAATAGTTCGTTTTAGGGAAGAGCGAGTGCATTGTATGGGAAACCGCGTGCTATAGTCGCCATTTTGGGTAAACGAAGAAGCATTTCGCATATACAGTCTACTTTGGTTAATATCTCGCGTAATAGGTTTAAGGCTCGACCGGGGAATTGGACTTCGGTAACCTTAGGCTCGTCGCTCCACCACATACATATGTATTATGTTACGATCCATAACATAACACAATAACATAAACACTCACGCCTGTCACCCAGAGGGGTAGGCAGAGACTACAGACTTCCATTTAGCACGATCCTGACATACCTTTCTCGCCTCTTCCACATCCATATACCTACGCATACATGCTCGTCGGTTAAGGGTACTTTTAATTTGGCCCATTTTTAGTATGTCGCCAATTTGGTCGACAAACTTCCGCCTAGGACGTCCCTTTCCGACTCTTCCATTCACTTCTGCAACATATATTTGCTTTGTCAGTCTTTCCGCATTCATTCTTTCTACATGACCAAACCACCGAAGCATTCCTTTCTTAATCCTGGTCACTGCATCATCTTGCAAACCACACTCTTCTTTTATCACACAGTTTCTCACCCTGTCACTCAGATTCAGCCCCAACATACTCCTTAGCGACCGCATTTCTACTGCATTTATTCTACTCTCGTGCTTCTTCTGCCACACCCAACTTTCACTACCATACGTTAAAGTAGGGACTAATACAGCACTGTGAATTGCCATACGTGCCTTTTTTGACACATTCTGACTTTTCACAATAGAGTGTAGAGCCCCATTTACTTTATTTCCTGCATTCACTCGTCGTTCAATATCCTTATCATATCTCCCATCTCTGCTGAATACACATCCCAAATATACGAACTCATCCACTTGCTCAATTAACTCTCCTTCTATTCTTATTCCACATACCGTCTTGCTTTCATCTCTTTCAAAAACCATCACTTTCGTCTTACTTGCGTTCACTTTCATTCCCCCTTTCTTTTAATGACCTGTTCATTAATGTAACCATCATTTGCAACTCGGCCGCCGACGACGCAAGAATAACTTGATCATCGGCGTACAAAAGGCATTTGATGGTTAACTCACCCATTCTTAACCCGCATTCTTCAACTTTCAAATTTTCCAAACAGCTGTCCATAAATAGGTTGAACAGCCACGGGGAAGCTACACAGCCCTGTCTGACACCTTTATGGATGCCAAACCAGTCCGAGTAGACCCCGTTGATTCTAACACAAGCACTCGAGTCCCTATACAGAGACTTTAATGCCTGTATCAAACCAGCGCTCAACCTAAATGCGTTCAGCGTTTGCCATAACACATCCCTGTCCACTCTGTCATAAGCTTTTTCCAAGTCCATGAACGCACAAAAAACTTTTTTGGTTTTTCGCCACAAACTTCTCCGCGATCATGCGTATGGAAAAGACTTGACCTGTACACCCCATTCCCTTTCTAAATCCCGCTTGCACATCCCAAATTTTTTCATCAGTTTCTTTCATAACTCTTTCAATTAGTACCTTAGCATACAGTTTTCCCACAATGCTAAGAAGGCTGATACCACGGTAGTTTTTACAGTCCTGCTGTGACACTTTTCCCTTATATATTGGGACTATCACGGCTTTGCACCAGTCTCCCGGTACCCGCTTCAGTTCCCAGCATAAATTAAACAAGGTGTACAGCAGGCCTGCCACCACGTCCTCTCCAGCCCTTAGCATTTCGAGTGAAACTCTATCATATCCCGCTGCCTTACCTACTTGCATGCTTTTCATTGCTTTCATTATTTCATCTATACTTATCTCCCTATCTCTTTCATCTTCTTTCGGAATTTCTATTTCATTTAGTTCACACTTCTCCTCACTCATAAATTCGCTTTCAAAATATTCCTTCCATCTCTTTAGACTCAACACTTCATCATTCAGGATACAGCCATTCTCGTCTCGTATCGCATTCAATCTAGGCTGTTTTGAAAGTCCCCTGGTATTTCTTACGAGTTTCCAGAACATTTTAATATTTGCCTGAAAGTTATCCGATATTCTTCTATCAAGTTGAAAAGAAAAAGCAAGAAAGAACGGATAAGAATCCGTTCTTTCTTGCTTTTTCCTTTCAACTAATTCTTTTACTCTCTTATTTAAACGTTTAAACTCAGCCTTTTTTCTTTCATTCTCATCATTCTTACCGCCAGAATTACCAGCTTTGGTCGCTAGTAAATCTAGCCATGCTCTCTTCTTTGCTTCAACTTCCATACGTACCTCATCATCCCACCATAACGTATTGTCTTTCCTTTCATTCGTTCTCTTACTAACACCACATACTCCGGTAGCTGCATCCACTAAACCTTTCTTAACATTATGCCACACATTCTCCAAGTCTAACTCATTCACACACAACTCTTCCAAATTACTTATATTTTCTCTCAGTCTGCATTTGTACTTGTCTTTCACATCTTCATCTTTTAACCTCTCAATTCTTATACGCTGTAACGCTGTGGTAGACACAGATGTCCTATGCCGCCAAAGTCTGAATAAACCCCTAATTCGGCATAAGACCAGGTAGTGGTACGTCCCTACGTTGGACTCCCGGTAAACCCTTGTATCCACCACTGCGCTCCTCATTCTTTCATCCACGGTTACGAAATCTATCATGCTTCTATCATCACCTCTTTCCCAAGTATACATGTGAATCTTCTTATGACGAAAGAAAGTGTTCGTCACAAAAAGATTCCTTTCCACACATACGGTGAGGAGGCTTTCACCATTCTCATTTATACTTTCATCACCAAACGTTCCCAATACCCTTTCATAACCAAGCCTCCTCATCCCAACCCTTCCATTAAAATCTCCTAGCATAATAATATTTTCATTTCCCTTACACTTCATTAACACCATCCTTACCATTTCCCAAAACTGCTCCCGGATATAAGTGGGCTTAGACATGTCTGGGGCGTAGACCCCTAACACAAACAACTTCTTTAAGCCCACTTTCATTCGTATCCATAGCAATCCTGGGGTTACACATTCATACTCTTTCACACATTGGCCCATTCTTTCTGAAAGGATGATACCTACTCCCTGGCATGCCCGCTCGATCTCGTCTACACCAGACCAGTATGCGGTATACATGCCATGTGTATTGACATCCTTCCCCTTCCTTTTCGTCTCATTTACACATAACACATCTATTCCTCTATCATACATCATATCGCATACTTCATCCATTTATCATTCATTGCCCCACATACATTCAACGTAGCCAGACAGGCCTCTGCAATCCACTTTTCGCCGAAGACAGAACGTGACGGGTGGCGAACCTCGTCGCCGGTTTTCCTCCCGGAGATTCTTCGCACCCCTGCCCCATTAAAGGGGCGCCGGGAACTCGGGGCCATTTCTTTTACTATTTGCCTCATGGTGCGAAAACTAGGGCGTGGCATATTTTACGCCGCTACCACACGGCGAGTAGATAAGTCTGTTCTTTCGGCTTTGTCGCTCTTTTAGCACCACCCGGGGGAAACGTGTAGGGTGGGCCTAGGATTAGGTGGTCGAAGCCTACGGACGCGAGCGACTTCATTTAGGCTGTAAATACTTTTGAAAAATATTACCTCCCTTTTGGGGTGGTCGGGTAAAATGTAAAAAATAAAGACGGCTCCGTGGCACAGTGGCTTAGCAATAAGTTGCAACGCTTAGGGCCGCGCGTTCGAATCCCACACGGAAGTAGTATGGTTTGTATGACCTGTACCGGGTCTGGATGTTTGTCCTTTTGTGTTTGTATGTGAACTGCGCCCACGATACAGGAATATTAAAAAAAAAACAATATTAAATTCACATTCATGCTGCTGTATTTCGTATGGTGAGTGTAGGAACCGGGAACCCTTTTTACTGGAAACGAGGCATTCCATCTTAGTCCTCACGGGTGAGAGCGCATCTGCATTTTGATTCGTAATCGAGGATAGATGTAGATATCTATGGGCCGCAGCAACCACTCACCATCAGATGGACTGTGTGCTCGTGTGTCATCCTATCCTATTAAAAAAATGTAACGGTATTATTGTTTTGGAAATGATTATTGTTACCTGTTGTAACGCGGAGACGTTTTCATCGTCCATGACTGCGAACTGCGTGAAGCTCTGGTCCGCTCGGGCCCGCGCTGCTCTGCGCCCGCCTATGATCACCATCAACTATTAATGATGTTCTCCAGAATTTTGGTCACTAGTCTCAATGGAGACTAGCCCACTGCGCAGGACAGGATTATAGTGCCCGAGTGTATGCGCAAGCATAGGTGCACTCTCTGTCCCCTCACTCTAATAGCACGATGGGACGGTAATCCAACACGAACGAAAAGATCACGCGCTGGACCAACGGCTTTACGTGCTTTTCGAGACACGGGGGTAAAACACCGTCAACTTCCTGACTCTGGTCTATACTGAGAATTTGTTGACAGAAAAATCCAATCGTTGATTTTTGGCCCCACTGGAATTAGAATATGGGACATCATGATAAGCAACCGCGTTAGCGACCACTATAGTCTATTCGCGTTAAGAAAATAGTGAGTCATCGTTGTCCGCTGGCCTGGCCACGCCCCCCAGACAATTAAAATGCAAGAAATTAGAAAGTCGAGTTCACAGTGACCAGTTGAAGTCAGGCCTTTGAACAAAACCGCTGTGTATTTTGCGTGTTACTCATTCAAAACATCGAAAGAATAAAAGTGGATCAATAATCCATAGCGGAGAGAGACGCGTAATTTACAATGTTTATAAGTACTTTAAACTGTGTGATTTAAATGCGACTGTGGAGAGCACAGTAATAAAGACAGCAAGTGCATGTGGTGTGTCCGAAAATACTGTTTATAAAATTATTAAATAACAAAAGGATACTAACACATTAAAATCACCCGTGAAAAAAGAGCTCTACTATCGACGGTCGATAAATTAGATGAACTAGACAAATGTGCAATAAGGAGAAAAGTTCACTCAATATATTTTAATAACGACTACCCAACATTGGACAAAATTATGACACTTTGCCAAGCTGACGAAAATATTCCTGTTTTCAAACGTACCACACTTCATAAAATAATGCACGAACTTGGTTTCGATTTCAATAAACAGGATAGCAGAACATTGTTAGTCGAAAGAGAAGATATTGTTTTATGGAGGCGTAAATATCTGAGGCAAATAAAAGAATACAGAGCCTAATAAAACCATTTACTATCTTGATGAAACGTGGGTTAACGCCGGACACGTAAAGACAAAAGCATGATTGGATACAACGGTAAAAAATAAAAGACAAGCCTTTCTAGATAGCTTATCAGCCGGTCCAAAAGCTCCGACAGGAAAAGGTAAAAGGTTAATTGTATTTCACATTGGCAGCGACAAAGGATTCGTGGAAGATGGTCTACTAGTATTTTTTTTATATTTTTTTTATAGGAAAAGGGTGACAAGCGAGCACACAGTCCACCTGATGGTAAGTGGAACCTGTGGCCCATAGACATCTACATCTATCCTCGTTTGTGAATCAAAATGCTGATGCGTTTTCAGCCTTGAGCCTTGCTTAGATGGAATGCCTCTTTTCCAGTAAAAAGAGTATCCGGTTCTCTCTACACTCACCATACGAAACACAGCAGCATTAAGCCGTTATTTGACGCTGGTATTCTGTGTTTGAATCTAAGTCTACAAAAGACTATCATGAAGAGATGGATGGTGAAAGATTCCTTAATTGGTTCATTAATATAATGCCTAAGCTAGAACCAGGAAGTGTGGTTGTCATGGATAACGCTCCCTATCATTCGGTAAGAGTCGAAAAAATACCAACAACCAGCTGGAACAAGCAGCAAATAATAGATTGGCTGTAAAGCAAAGGCAAATCCATGGACATGCCTTATTTAAAAAAAAAGAATTATTAATGAAAGTTGCCGAAATCGCCCCACAATATAATAAATATTTAATAGATGAGACTGCCAAAAGTAATGGCATTTCAATTCTTCGCCTACCGCCTTACCATTGCAAACTTAATCCAATTGAATTGGTTTGGGCCCAAATAAAAAATTATGTTGGTGCCAATAACTCCACGTACAAAATGAGTGACATAAAAAAATTATTAGATGACGCAATAGTATTAATAGACGCTAATCGTTGGAAGAAGTGCTGCGACCACGTGATACGCGAAGAAAATACCACGTGGAATTTGGATGACATTATGGAACTTGCAGAACAAAATTCTTTCATAATTAATGTAACTGGAGAATCTAACAAAACTGATTAGTGATTTAAGTAGTTTTAAGAAAATTTGTATCCATTAAACTTAATTAAATGTTTGCCGTGTAGTGGCGGTTGAGAATATCCACTACCCCATATCTTCCCGTGGGTGTCGTAAAAGGCGACAGAGGGAGACAGGCAGGAGATGGGCAGCAGCATCTTCCTGATAACAACTGTGACGTAATAAAAAACTGCGGTTGCCAACCCGCTCGCCAAGCGTGGCAACTATGGCAAATACCCCCCAATGAATAAATACACAAACAGACGGCCCCCAGTCCCCGGCGGCCCCGCTATTCCTGGCTACGGTGGCGACCATGGTAACGGCGGGGCAGGGGGTGCTAAGAATCTCCGGTGGAGGTTCGGTTGCCACCTACGACGACTCGACCTGGCAACATATAACGCACGCACCCTGAGGACTGACGAGAAGATACTAGAGCTGGAAGAAGAGGTAGACAAGTTGCGCTGGCATATTATTGGATTATCCGAGGTCCGAAGAGAGGGGGAGGACACGGCAATCCTCGAGTCCGGCAACTTGTTCTATCACCGGGAGGGCGACCATCTGTCCCAAGGAGGTGTCGGATTTATCGTCCACAAGTCTCTCGTCAACAACGTTGTAAAGATTGGGAGTGTGTCGACGAGGGTCGCGTACCTGATACTCAGAATCACCAAACGGTATTCGCTGAAGGTCATTCAGGTTTACGCACCAACCTCGGCACATCCCGATGAGGAAGTGGAGGAAATGTATGAGGATATTTCCAGAGCCATACATTCCTCCAAAACCCACTACACGGTGTTGATGGGAGACTTCAACGCAAAACTAGGCACAAGAGAAAGCGGTGAGCTGAAGGTAGGGAAATTTGGAGTAGGGCAACGGAACCGAAGGGGCCAGCAGCTGGCCGACTTTATGGAGAAAGAGGGACTCTTTATGATGAACTCTTTCTTCCAGAAGCGGCCCCACAGGAAGTGGACCTGGTCGAGCCCCGACGGTTCGACAAAAAATGAGATTGACTTCATTATGACGATCAGACGCCAACTGTTCAGTGATGTCTCAGTGATCGCAAGGGTGAAAACTGGCAGCGATCACCGAATGGTTAGAGGCAAACTGAACCTAAACGTTAAGTTGGAGAGGTCTCGTCTAATGAAGTCAACGCTCCGTCCCCCTCGTGCTCTAATCCAGAATCCCGAAACCTTTCAGCTCGAGTTTCGTAACCGCTTCCAGTGCCTAGAAGATTGCAATGCAGTGGACGATATGAACGACAAGCTCGTGGAAACTGTCCATGCGGTCGGAGCTAAGTTCTGCAAGACCCGCCGCAGAAGAACACAAAAACTCTCCGATCACACTCTTAATCTCATGGCTGTTAGACGGGAGATGAGGCTGCAATCGTCAACAGATTTGACAGCATACAGGCAACTGAACAGACGAATCTCCAAATGCATGCGGCGAGACTTACGCAACTTTAATACTTCTCGTATTAAAGAAGCGATCGAGCGGAACCAGGGCTCCAAAGTCTTTGCCAGAGATCCGTCTGCCAGAAAGAGCCAACTGTCAAAGCTGAAGACTGAGTGTGGCAACATCGTTTCCGGGACACCTGAGATTTTGAGTGAGATTGAGAGGTTCTATGGGCAGCTGTACACATCATCGTTGGAGCCACACGCAAGTGTGAGTAACGATCCAAGAGCAAGTCTTATCAGACACTATTCCGATGATATCCCGGACGTCAGTCTGAGCGAGATTAGAATGGCTCTCCACCACCTTAAAAACGGCAAGGCCCCGGGCGAGGATGGAATTACAGCGGAGCTTCTGAAAGCGGGTGGAAAACCGGTACTTGAAGTCCTTCGGAAGCTCTTCAATTCCGTCCTCCATGGTGGCACTACTCCGGAGGCGTGGAGCAGAAGCGCGGTGGTTTTGTTCTTTAAGAAAGGCGACAACGCTCTCTTGAAGAACTACAGACCGATTTCCCTTCTGAGCCGCGTCTACATGCTATTTTCGAGAGTCATTACGAATCGTCTCGCACGCAGACTCGACGACTTCCAGCCTCCCGAACAAGCCGGTTTCCGAAAAGGCTTCAGTACCATAGACCACATACATACCCTGCGGCAGATTGTACAGAAGACCGAAGAGTACAATCTGCCACTTTGCCTGGCATATGTGGACTATGAGAAAGCCTTTGATTCCGTCGAAATTTGGGCGGTGCTACAGTCCCTTCAGCGGTGCCAAGTTGACTGTCGGTACATCGAAGTGCTGAAGTGTTTGTACAGTAGGGCTACGATGGCTATCCGAGTACAGAACCAGAGTTCGAAACCTATCCAACTGCAGAGAGGTGTAAGACAGGGTGATGTTATATCCCCGAAACTCTTCACCGCTGCGTTGGAAGACGTTTTCAAGCTACTGGACTGGAAAGGATACGGTATTAACATCAATGGCGAGTACATCACTCACCTTTGATTTGCCGACGATATAGTCATTATGGCAGAATCGCTGGAGGACTTAAGCATTATGCTCAATGACCTCAATAGTGCCTCCCAACGGATAGGTCTTAAGATGAACATGGACAAAACAAAGATCATGTTTAATGTCCATGTCACACCTATGCCGGTAGTTGTTGGAAGCACTATGCTCGAAGTTGTTGACGAGTACGTTTACCTGGGACAAATAGTCCGACTAGGTAAGTCCAACTTCGACCGAGAGGTCAATCGACGGATTCAACTCGGCTGGGCAGCGTTCGGGAAATTACGACATATCTTTTCGTCAGGTATACCTCAATCTCTAAAAACTAGATTGTACAACCAGTGCGTGTTGCCAGTGATGACTTACGGATCTGAGACGTGGTCCCTCACTGCTGGCCGTATGAGGACGCTTAAGGTCGCTCAGCGAGCTATGGAGAGGGCTATGCTTGGAGTTTCTCTGCGTGATAGACTCAGAAATGAGGATATCCGCAGTAAAACCAGAGTGATCGACATAGCCCAACGGATTAGTAAGCTGAAGTGGCAATGGGCCGGCCATATAGCTCGAAGAACCGATAACCGATGGGGAAGAAAGGTTCTCGAGTGGCAGCCTCGTACCGGTAGGCGTAGTGTAGGGCGACCCCCCACTAGATGGAGTGACGACCTGGTACGACATGCAGGAAGTCGATGGATGCAGGTGGCTCAGGACCGTGCTTTGTGGCATTACTTGGGGGAGGCCTATGTTCAGCAGTGGACTTGTGAAGGGCTGTAATGATGATGAAAAATGATGATGATGAAATGTTTGAAAAAAAAAAAGAATTTTTACTCCACTGCGAATACACCTTTACCCTGTAGTTGCACTGATGACTCACTATTTTCTTAACGCGAACGGACTATAGACCAGCGAGGCTAACTATTATATCTTAGCCATGTCTCATTTGATCCGGTGGGCGTTGTAAAAAGTACCTTCTTTAGTGTTTTAAGTCCACAACTGGACACAGATCTCTCCTACTATAGTAAGGATTTAATTGTCACGTTTTGCAATCGGATTGATGATCGCAGCAGATTGATGAAGATCGCACTCAATTTTAAGACACCGTTAAGTCTCAAGTTGTCAAAATCACTTTGAGTTAAAGTGATAGAAAAAGCACGAGACAATTAAAATTGAGCAGTGTTTGAGTATTTGGGCGTTAGCACATTTGACGCTGCTTAGCGCCGCCCGGTCTGGGCATTCTAAAGGCGTAAAAGAGATAGTTATATCGCCATCTATCTAGTCATTTTTGTAGCTAATCCCAATGTTCTCTTACGATAGGTACTCACGGGACGACATACACACGGTACAATATGTATAAAAAATACAACAAAGACTTCAATGTATACTACAAGACCGGCAAATCAGTACAAAAACTGTGCTACATCTGTGCTCTGTGCGTGCAGGTAGCTGGCACGGTAAATATGGTACAAAAGTAGTTGTACATTGTGTACCAGACTTAATCCAAGATATTTTTCTTGTGCGTTTAGACGACACTAGACACGGTACAATCAGTGTATAAATCGAGTGTCTCTGTATGAAACGCGAGTGTCTCTAACTGTAAAATTTATTGTGACATGATAATTAGTGTCGCACCAGCCACTGTATGAATACGTTGTGTCCAAGTGTCTATTTTATAATGTAGTTGAAAAGTTTTCGACCAGGTTTGACATTTTCAATACACCACACCGCGTTTTGAGCGCACAAAATGAGTCTTACGTGGAGCAAGGAGACTACAAAAATCCTTATCATTTTTGTAGAACGGCTACCAGAGCTTTGGAATGTTTTATCCAGCGATTATAAAAATAGAGTAAAAAAGCAGGCGGCGCTGGAGAGTTTAGCAGAACAGTTTAAACTACCTCTGTAGAAATAAGCAGAAAAAAATCCTAAACTTAAGGACACAATTCAATCATGAAATAAAAAAGAGTGGACAAGCAATAGGGACTTCATGACATGACAATTTCCGTACACTACACTTACAAATAGACAGTACTCAGACAAAAAAATTCCGTACAAGTGTAAACAATATAGAAATTAATGTCCGACATTTATGTCGGAACTTCTGTCGTAATTTAAATGTACCATTAGGGTTAGCGATAACAACTATTATTTTTATTTGCGAATAGTAAGATATCATAAATATATCATAAAAGTAGAGTTGTGATATCTTTAGAAGATTCCATAACTCTACTTTAAACTGAAATTGTCTTCTGTTTTAGCTATACACTGAAAATCTTAAGAAAGAATAAATTATAGTAGTGTTTTCAATGAAAGGAGAATAAATTATGTCGTCTCCAGAAAAAGGTAGATAGTTACAAATGAGGCAGTGGAGATGACACATGTATATTATAATAATTTAGCTTGTTTTGGTAATGAAATTGTCTCGAAGTTATTGTGCTTTAAGGTCTAATATGAAGTAGGTATTACAAGTAATATAATATACGGTTACTTACCTCTCTTGAAGTGCGTGTCCGAATGTACGCTGTCCACGTCAGCTATAATGCGAGGACTGGTCGCTTCTCCTGGAAATAAACGTCAAATCATCGTTACAGTCTATCACAACTTCACTGGTAAATATACATAGGTATCCCCCGAGAAATACCATAAATCACGGTCTTTAGCCACCTGTATCCATCGAATTCATGCAGTTTTTATATTTTTAAATGCTTATGTAAAATATGAAAATTACTTCAGCTACGCTTTGCCAGTTGCAATACATGAAAATGTTTGGTGAAACTAAAGATCGGTATGAGTCAAAGACTTCTAAGTATACTTCTATATTGATGTGACTATAAATGTGATTTTGATAATGTTTATTTAAGATAAATAAGTTATTTTTAATTAGTGTTGGTCTGTTACAGTAACTGTCGTAAATGAAAATACAATTGCATGACATATTTACTGAGCCAGCTTTGCGTCGGTATACTAGTATACATAGAAGTCTTCGGTATAAGCGGCAAGTTTGTCGTACGTAGTTATATAGTTGTGTAGTTGTGTATGTGTGTAGGTATGCAGGTGTGTAAGTGTGAAGTTGTGTATGTGTTTAGTTGTCTAGGTGTGAAGTTTTATAGGTATGCAGGTGTGAGGCGTGTAGTTGCGTAGTTGTATAGGTGTGTAGTTTTGTAGGCGTGTAGGTATGCAATTGTGTAGTTGTGTAGTTGTGTAGTTATTATGTGAGTGTGTAATTTTGTAGGTGTGAGGTGTGTATATGTGTAGTCATGTAGTTGTGTAGGTGTGTAGGTGTACGTACCTTGCAGCGAGGGCGAGTGGTGGGGGTGGTGGTGCGCATGCGCCAGCTCTTGCACGCAGGTGGGCGGCGCCGTCACCACGCGCAGCCGCGCCAGCGTCGCCCCGCCCATACCACCAACACCCGCTGCATACACAATACATAATTTGTTATACATGTGTCAATCATTCATTCCTACTGACCCAATCCTTCAAGTATTGATTGGTCTTACGATTCGGCTCCATCGGCTCATCATTCAAATTAATTGTTCAAGTAGAAGAGCATTCACAAAATACTTTTACATTTACAATTTGTGTAAACAGTTCATCATAGGTCACAGGATAATATAATACAATTTTTTTTTAAATCCAGATCGTTCAAAAATGTGAATGTAATCATCAATACTTTAATGCGATTCAAATGAACCGGGTCAAATTAACGAATTATTCACAATTGACACATTCCTGATCTGTTGACTTTTCCAGCTCAACAGAAAGTAGGAGGTGACTAGCTCCCGCACATTTCATCATTGAATGTTGTGTTAAAAATTGTCAAAATGAATGTGTTCAAAATTCACTCATTCATTATAGCCTACTCTTTTTAAAAGGCCGGACACGCACCTGCAATTTTCCTGGTGTTAAAGTTGTTTACAGACGGAGGTAGTCACTTACTACCAAGTGAGCCGCACGCTCGTTTGACCTTTCGTATTATAAAAAAGCCTGTCAAAGTCTATTTCTAAACATACGAGTACGCTTCCGGCATAGATTGCCTCATAGGGAAGACATTTTTTACGTAACATATATTCTACACATAAAATAAGTAGACTAGATAAACGGACGAGACATCTTATAGAGTGCTTGCCACCTGCTATGAAGACTGAGAAGTCCATGACACAGGCAATGGGAGGCATCACAACTTTCGACGTTACGTAACTAATCATTAGTCTGTAAGTAAATAAACTGTGGCGTGTATTTGAGTGAGTTTTCAGTGGAGCTGGACGAGGTGCTAAAATCGTGTGTGCGGGCGCGCGCGCTGTGTGTGTATGTGTGTGTGTGTGTATGTGTGTGTGTGTGTGTGTGTGTGTGTGTGTGTGTGTTTCTCGCGTGCGTGAGTGCGTGCGGGTGCGTGCGGGCGTGTGCGTGCGTGTGCGTGCGTGCGTACGTGCGGCACTAACCGGAGGGCGGGCGCGCGCGCGCCGGCGGTACGCTCTGGCGGTCACGCGCGCCGGCACTGCCACTGCCACCGGCCGCGCTGCTCTCTTGTACCTCCTGCACACATCACCACATTTATTTTCATAACAAGCTTTTATGTGGTAGGATTCCTAGGCAGAAAAGTCTTCCCACCACCTAGTACAAACTCCATAAACACGCATCGACTGCTGTGTTACTTTGCTCAACCGACACAAAAGTTTATATCTTAAAAATTTATATTATTTTAAATCGAATTATTACATTACTTGTGATAAAAAATGAATCATCATCATCATCATTACAGCCATTCACAAGCCCACTGCTGAACATAGGCCTCCCCCAAGTAATGCCACAAAGCACGGTCCTGCGTCCTCCTCCTCCATCCTATCCAAAAAATGGATACTATACGATAATCAGAAGCGCTCGTCGCAATGGATGAACGAAAACTGACTCATAAAAAGTTACTTGTGAGTGTTTGGTGGACTAGCGCCGGTGTCGTTCACTACAGCTTTCTAAAATCTGGCCAAACGATTACGGCAGATATCTATTGTCAGCAACTGCAAACCATGAAGGGAAGAACTAGCTGCTAAACAACCGAGATCGGTCAATCGCTCTAGGCCACTGCTGCTTCAAGACAACGCAAGACCACACACTGCACAACAAACAAACACTAAGTCAGATGAGCTACAATTGGAATGTCTGCGATATCTACCGTACTCCCCGGATCTTGCCTCAACAGATTACCATTTTTTCCGGAATTTGGACAACTTCTTACAAGGAAAAAAATTCAACTCCAATGCGGCAGTCCAAACCGCCTTCAAAGAGTTTATTTATTCTCGCCCCCATGGTTTTTTTAGTAATGAACTACCCATGAAATGGCAAACGTACATAGATAACAACTGTTCATACTTAAATATATTTTACAAAAAAAAAAATTACTTCATATTCCTCCCGTACAAAACGCCAGTTTCATATGTAAGGAACTAATATATGAAACATGACGTACATGGTTCTTCTTTTATCTAAGATAATTAGTTATGAAGAAAATATTTCTGCCTTATAAACTAAATTTAATCGAAAATTGATCTCTTGAATGAACGCCTCACTTATCTACGAACCTCACATTTAATGAATTTATTAACTAAATTGTTCTCAGATGCAAAGGTAAACCTTTTGCTACAGTCATATACAGAGCGGGGTAAAAGTCTAAAGCCATAACTATCTTTACTTCAACAAACGATTCAATCAAATGGTGTGACATTGCGCAGATGTGAATTAGCGAATTGATTAGATAGTAAAAGAAAAAAAATCAACATCAGATTTTTATTGTCTACAAACCTTGTCTGCGTTCAGCTACAAATATTGCCGAAAAAAATATGTAAATTAGCCTACGGGTTACCGAGGAAACAGATTTCAAAATATCGTTTTCTTGCGCCATGGGAGTCTCCAATAAATATTGTAGACTAGCTGTTTCTCGCGACTTCGGCCGCGTCGAAATTATTGAATTTGATGTTATTCTTTTGCGCGGAACCATAATTATTTTTCTAAAATTAAATTACCCTAAGTTACTCCTTAAACCATCAGCGATCTACTAGTGAAAGTGCCGTCAAAGTCGGTCCAGCCATTTCGGAGATTAGCCGGAACAAATACACAAAGGCAAAAATTTTAAGTTTGTACCGTATAATACTTTCATATTCATTTAGTAAAAGGCTATTACTTTGAAATAGACATTTCAATTTTATTTATTTGTATATAGATTCAGTTGTATAGTGAAAACGCATGTACCACAAGGTTCTATTTTAAGCCCCTTATTGTTACTTTTCTCACTTAGAACATAGTATTGCTTGCAGACTGATCGACTAGCTCCATGAATTAAAAACTAAGTAGTAAATATTAAATAGTTTACGGATTTTATAACGTTCCTGACTTTTTAAGTACTTTGCAGCATCTATGACCATGGAGGGACTGAAGTGTTTCGCATCCTGATGTCGTAATTACTTATTTTTTATCAATGTGTAATATTTGTATACATATAAGAAGAAATCATTATTTTTCAATCATATTACGACGCAATTTATGTTGGTTATACAATATAAATTGTAATAGAATAATGAATTATGTGTAAAAAAAAATTGTCCATGAAGCTATACCTTGTTAGCGTGTCGGTCGGGAGATGGGGCAGGCGTAGTTCTCGTTTCTGCTTCCTTTTCTGGGGTCGGCTTATCCGTAGTGGACTGCAAAGATGAAAAATTATAATGTGATTGTGCCTGGGTAACGCAAAAGCTGAATAATCTATTTTAAGACAATGTAATTTATAGTTCATTGAAATTAGATTTTGACTCTCCGTGAGTTCAAGATCGGAGAGTTATTTTAAGAAGATTGTGTGCGCAAGATGTGAGACTTGAATTTTGTCAGATGCTATCTTTGTTTAGAATGTATCAAGACTAAGGATTACGTCAAGAGTAAATGCTAACACTTAGTCACTAATTCTTCCTATGTTACCCATACCCTAGTCCGACACAATAATCCTAATAATATAATAACTTCAGTATGCAACCCGCCTGCCAAGCGTGGCAAATATGGCAAAATCCCCTTATAGGGCAATCTATGGCGGAGGCCTAGTTTCATCAGTAGACTTTTATTGTGAAAACTGGTATTTATCATATAATATTTAATATTTAAAATACTGACGAAGTGGGCATACGACGTCGGTTTAGTACTCAATGCTGCCAAAACTAAACTTATGTATATAAGCACAAGCCACAACAGAAGTTCTTTTATACCTAAATTATAACGCATACACATCACTGCCTTCATATAAAAAATACCGAGAATTCGACAACCTGTAATTGCGTCAGCGTCAGACTTAAAACATTCTAAAAGCTTGATCCGGGCTTTTGATCGTAAATTCGCTTCAGAAGCCCTGGGATTAAATAAAAATAAATTGCGCATTCTGACAAAGGCCCTAACTGGACACCGTTTTCTTAAAAAGCACATGTCAGTCCTGGGACTAAGCCACTCAAGGATGTGTCGGTTCTGTTCCATAACGGAAGAAACGCCTCTGCACATCCTAACTGATTGCGGACCCTTAATGCGCGAACGTAACACTCATCTGGGAAACGATGTACTCCGCCCAGAAGAAGTGAAATTGTTCACTCCTAAGCAACTCTTTCTATTCTTTGAAGACATAGGGCTTAGCCGTGAACTATAGCCATAGTATAGCAGCGATCAAAATAGATCTTTTAGGTCGCAGTGATACCGGTCTCTTTCCCTAGACCTGCATAGCTGCTCGCACATAATAAAAAAATATTCGTGCTCCAGGCATCGTTGAGGTGATGAGTTAGTGGTGGGTTTCTAATATTAAATTCAGGACAGTTGGAACACAGCCACGTTTAAAAACCCACAAACTGTATGTAACGCGGTAGTGTGATGTAAGATGGCAAGACTCATAACTAGGTGGTAGGATTTTTTGCCTAGCAGTCCGTTTGGCTAGGTTCCAACTTCTAACATACTTCCGCCGCAAAGCCGCAGGTATAAAAGCTATAGAGAAGCCAGTGTAGCAACGGTATAGCCGTGTGGTATTCTCCTATACTGGAATTCATAGTCAATGCGCGACCAGTTCTCCTCCGACATCTATCATTTAATATTTATCAAGAGGTTGAATGTTGAATCACCTACCTACTGAAGAAATACATACCATAACAGAATTTAGTTCGTTGTCGATTAATTAATTATTTTCTCCATGAAAATTCCTAAATAAAAATTAAAAGTAAAATTAAAATTTTAATTCTAATGAATTAGTGAATTCATTTTTAGATTATTTTATACGTTGTATTGTACTTTGTATTACTAAAAGGTAGTACTTAGATAGTGAATTAAACTTTGTAATAAATATATTAATTGTTTGTATAAGTGATTTGACGGTGACAAAAATTAAATTTATTACAGAATTAAAGCGCATAAGCAAGAAGTGTCGTAGACAAAATAGCAATTTTAATAATTAAATCAAGTTTTTTGTTTCTTTTATAAAATTCTGCCAATGCACGTTACAATATTATGAAGTTATAATGTAGGGGATTGTTTAGTTGCCGAAATTCGGACAGTTTGCAAACAATTCTTGACATTTGTCAAATTGGCGGTTTCTTTTATTTATGAAATACTTAAAGGTTGAATTCGACACATGACGGCTGAGTCGTCTCCTAGGCTCCCCCTATCATGACTATGAATTCCAGTGTTAGTCCTCAGAGGTGATAACACATCTGTACTCTCCTCCGTTTAAGGACTGCAGGTGTTCATGGGTTACAGTAGGCACGCACCATTAGGTGGAGCGTTAGTTCGTTCGTCACTTAGCATTATACCCCCACACACACACACACACACACACACACACACTCACACACATGAATGACTTAAAAAGTAACGCACGTATCCGTTTAGGTGCGCGGCGGGCGCGAGCGGAGGCGCAGGGGCGGGCGCGTGGAGCGGCGCGTGGCGCGGCGAGGCGGGCGCGCGCTTGTCTCGCTCGCGCAGCATGTTGCTCTGCGTGTCCGTGGCCAGCGCGTTCGTCGCCTCCGTCTCCAGGCGGCGCCGCGTCTGCACACACACACAACGTCTCACTCACATCTCGTGCAACCGCTTTCTTGATTACGATACTCAACACCATTACTTTAACAATCATACCTAAAAAGATATATTAGGATACGTAAGCCCCTAATACTTCAACGCTGCTCAATTTTCAGATGTCGTTAAGTCTCGTGCTATCAATTTCACTTTAAGGCAAATAAACTTAACGACATTAAAATTGAAGAGCATATCAGTATTTGGCCAATAGTCAATAACTATATCACTTGTTAATTGCTATTGTAAACATGTACAGTATACCGTCACATCATATTAAAGTCCACTGCTGAACATAGGGCTCCCCATAAATCGCCTCATATGCACATTTGCCATAGTTGCCACGCTTAGCAAACGAGTTAGTAACCGGAGTTTTTTTTATTACCAGTCGTTATTAGCAAGACGCTAGTGCCCATCTCCTGGTTTGTTTCACTTTGTCGCCTCTTACGACACTCACAAGATGATATGAAGTAGTCGATATTCCAACAACTCGGAAAATGTACAATACTACACGGTAAATGTACAATATATAAAAGTGATTTCTCAAATAATTTATGCAGTCAAACACTATCTTTCCTTCGATACACCACTTTCTTATAACTTATTGAATAAAATTACTTTTGCAGCAATTAAAAAAGGACCCAAAACAAGTCATCCTAACCTTACATTTCCTGCAACAGTCGTAAACTTAAATGTGCAAGTAGATAGTCTTAATTGTAATTGTTAGTGTATTAGTGTGTACGTAACCGGCCGTGCATGGTATTTGTATGTATGTGCTTGTAGGTATGCGTGCGCATGTACGCATGCGTATGCGTGTGTGTATGTGTGTCCGCACCGGATTGTGCGCGTTATTTGTATAGGTATTTATGTACATATGTATGTGTGTGTGTGTACCTACCCGGTCATGCGTGGTGACGGAGGGCGCGGGCGCGGGGGTCGGCGCCGCGGCAGGTGGCGCGTCGGGGTCGACGGGCTCGGGCGGCGCCAAGGCAGCGCGCGCGCGGGCCCCCGCAGCCACCGCCTGCACACAACACACAACAAATCAACCTCAGTGTCGACTATAATACAATACAATACAATATCTTTATTTTAGGCCTCATGGACCTAAAAATTAAGTACATTGGTCCATCACATTATGTATATGTAGGAAGGTAGTTAAATAGAATTAATTTACAATCACAAAATACACGGATCACAGGTAATCAACTATAAATTGTACTGAGACTAATAAATACAAGTAGCTACCCGAGCGCTTGCAGGTGCAATACGCAGGTGTGCGGTGCACGTGTTGTTTACAATAATTGTGGAAAAATAATACTAATAAAATCTTAAATATTCTGTCATTTTCTTTTAAATTCATAATGCGTGTGAATGAATTTTTATTCTTTATCTTTTAAGTTCAGAATGCATTATTTTAACTAATTGTCATTCTTAAAAATATTTAACGTCTACTATTTTACTACGCACGCAAACATTCGTAAGGGTCGCTCGATTATAAATTTAGGTGCCTCGTTGCACGTCTTCTCGCGCTTCTGCCCTTCCGGTAACCTTTACATCGCTAGGTACCTACGTCCACCGGGTCGGCCGACAGTTGACAGTGTTGAACGTGACCTCATTATGTATAAGTGTCCAAGTGCTATATTTAAATTTTGGTAGTTTTTCTTTTGTAATAAACAAACTTTGTATGTTATCAATACATGAAGCAAATGAAAGTTCGGAGTAGGCTTGGTTAAAAAATATCAACACATCGCAGTATCGATATTTTTATGAGAAAATATCGATATTTCAATGTATCAATATTTTTAAATCTTTTTTATAAAAACGTTACCCCTACACTAAGATTTTTTCTTGTATCGTAAGGGCAGTTTACAAACATAAATTGCACACGAACAAACATCCACACCCGGAACAACTATTTGTAGGCCTTACAAATATTTGTTCTGAGCGGGATTCGAACCCGCGACCCCCAGCGCAGCTACTTATTGCTAAGCCACTGTGCCACGGAGTCGTCGATTTTTATATATTGCCATGTCGATATTTTTATATATGGCCGATATTTTTTAATCTCGATATATCGATATTCGATATTTATTTTGGGGTTTCGAAACTGTTTAAATTTCCATATATTTTAAAATGTTCTATTAATTGACAAAATCTTACGAAACAAAAGTAGCTACAAAAGCAATAATGTCCTGTTGTCGGTTTATGTCGTCCAACTATCCAGTAATTCCATTTTGGGTTTTGCCCTACCACATAATACAAAACATAACGATATATCGATATTATCACGCGATATATCAATACTGTTTAAAATATCGATACGATATATATCGATATAATTTTTTTCACTTGCCCATCCCTAGTTCGGAGCTTTTGACCGCTCATAAATATTTGAATTTGGAATGTGATAGTTTTTAAACATCTATTGACTATAGTCAACCAAATCTAAGAAATACCTTTTGACGTTTCACATTAATCATTCAGCAATAACTTTGCACAAGCGTGCTCACACGATTTAAAATAACCTTTTACGTAAATCCGAAGAATTATAAAGTTATCTATATTCCATTACAACGTGTATAGTTTTTTTATCACTAATTTAAATTTGAATCTTTCAAACAAAGCAAAATATTAAAAAATAACCAGTATTAACTTTTTGTACTTGACGTTGTTTCAATGATATGTCGCTATGTACATTACCGTAGTGTTTGAACGATTAAAATTAATTGTTATGCGAATAATCAGCAAAAATATTCCAATAATTGGTAAAAATTCCTTAAATTACATGAATCATGAATAAAACAAGTTTATTTTTTTTAATTTGTCAACGTAAATTTGTGTAGGCAAAAAAACTCATATACAAGGCCGCGATATAAAAAGCACTACATAATTTCAATATCCCGCCATTTCGGGAGCTTACTGTGCGTAATTTTGTGATTTTGTGTTTGTCTTCTTATTTTGTGACTCGGCTTTAACTTTTTGGACTGTTTCTTCAATATTTATTGAAGCATGTGCCCATTTCACAAAGGATAATTAGGCAAAAGTGGTAGAAAAAACAAAAAAAAAAATATTATGGATGACTTTCAATTAGATATTTTTGTGGTAGAGCCATGCTGCAGCTGTATTAATTATGTAGTTGTAACACGAATGGGGAAGGACCACGCTCTCACAGAATACCAGCGTCAAATAGTAGCTTAATGCTGCTGTGTTTCGTATGGTGAGTGTAGAGAACCGGAGACTCTTTTTACTGGAAAAGAGGCATTCCATCTTAGTCCTCAAGGCTGACAACGCATCTGCATTTTGATTCGCAAACGAAGATAGATGTAGATGTCTATGGGCCACAGCAACAACTTACCATCAGGTGGACTGTTTGCTCGCTTGTCACCCTTTTCCTATAAAAAAGACATTAATTTTGACTGCATTATTGAAATCAAACAATGACAGCTCAACTAATTGTACTGATAGTGATTGAATAAATTTATTTTTAATTTAGTTACAATCTTACATTTTAAGCTATTGCCATCCAGAAATTCCGTAACGAAAAAAAACCTCACGCTCCCCACTCCGACGGGCACGGAGGTGTGGCGTTGAAAGACGTGCATCGTGCATCGTCTAACGTCGTTTCAGTTCGGCAGACTTCGGCACTCGGCAGACTTCGGCACGGTGTTTGTGTGCGTGCGACTAGACGTATGCGTGTACACTAGCTGCTAACTCAATGATAAAAATTCCTAAATAACCTACATGTATTGTAAGATATTAAAAATATTTTAAACAATATTAACTTCTCATTTATTCAATAAGAGAAAAAAATTGTTTTCTTATCGGTCACCACGCTCAAAAAGTGTAACTTGATTTAATATCAAAGACTTAACTGCATAAATAAAATAAATAAATAATTATAATTGCATAAGTTGATAAAAAATGCTATGCAATAGCTTTACCGCGGCAGTCACCGAGTGCCACACGTATTGTTTTTTATAACTGTGCCTCTAGAAATAAGCAGTAACTAACAACAAATACGTAGAAACTGATAAATCTTGTGTTTTAAATTATCCGTATTTAATTTATTCTGGTATTATTAAACCAAACAGTAAATGATTACCAACTCTAAATAATCGATATCAATTTTTTTAAGAATCGAATATTTTACGTTCCCATATTTTGGTTGATATGCTTGGTGCAATAAGTCTGACAGCTGTCAAAATGTATTTCTTAGATTTGGTTGACTATAAAATAATTTTTTGCGGCATGTCGTGAAGGAAATCTTTGAAAATTGGTTAATAACTAGCTTACAGCGCTACCTAGCAGCCTATCGTCATAGCAAAATAAATTAATTTACTTACTGACTAAAATTAATTTACTGTATATATATGTATTGTACGTGGTAGAGCCACGCTGCAGCTATATATAGCACGAACGGGTCGGCTCGACAGGGGAAGGACTACGCTCTCACAGAATACCAGCGTAAAAATAGCAGATTAATACTGCTGTGTTTCGTATGGTAAGTGTAGAGATCCGAGGATTTTTTTACCGCCTCAGTGCGACAACACATCTTCGTTTAGATTCTTAATCGAGGATAAATGTAGATTTCTATAGACCACAACATCCACTTACCATCAGGTGAACTCGTTTGTTACCCTTATTCAATAAAAATGTAGAAGAGTCCACATACGCCAGGCAAAGTGGCAGATTGTATTTTTCGGTCTTATCTACAATCTGCCGCAGGTTATGTATGTGGTCTATTATGGTACTGAAGCCTTTTCGGAAACTGGCTTGTTCGGGAGGCTGGAAGTCGTAGAGTCTGATAAGACTTGCTCTTGGATCGTACTCACACTTGCGTGTGGCTTCAACGATGATGTGTACTGCCCATAGAACCTCTCAATCTCACTCAAAATCTCAGGTGTCCCGGAAACGATGCTGCCACACTCAGTCTTCAGCTTTGACAGTTGGCTCTTTCTGGCAGACAGATCTCTGGCAAAGACTTTGGAGCCCTGGTTCCGCTCAATCGCTTCTTTAATACTAGCCGTATTAAAGTTGCGTAAGTCTCGCCGCATGCATTTGGAGATCTGTCTGTTCAGTTGCCTGTATGCTGTCAAATCTGTTGACGATTGCAGCCTCATCTCCCGTCTAACAGCAGATTAAGAGTGTGATCGGAGAGTTTTTGTGTTCTTCTGCGGTGGGTCTTGCAGAACTTAGCTCCGACCGCATGGAAAGTTTTCACAAGTTTTTCATTCATATCGTCCACTGCATTGCAATGTTCTAGGGACTGAAAACAGTTTTGTAACTCGAGCTGAAAGGTTTCGGGTCTTTGGATTAGAGCACGAGGGGGACGGAGCGTTGACTTCAATAGACGAGACGTCTCCAACTTAACGTTTAGGTTCAATGTGCTTCTAACCATTCGGTGATCGCTGAAAGTTTCACCCTTGCGATCACTGAACCGTTGCAGTCTTGTCGTCATAATGAAGTCATTTTTTGTCGAACCGTCAGGGCTCGACCAGGTCCACTTTCAGGGGCCGCTTCGGAAGAAAGTCTCCCTTTCTCCATGAACTCGGCCCGCTGTTGGCCCCTTGAGTTCCGGTGCCCTATAACAAATTTCCCAACTTTCAGCTCATCGTTCCTTCTTGTGCCTAGTTTTGCGTTGAAGTCTCCCATCCACCGTATAGTGTGTTTTGGAGGAATGCATGGCTCTAGAAATATCCTCATACATATCCTCCACCTCCTCATCGGGATGTGCCGACGTTGGTGCGTAAACCTGTATGACCTTCAGCGAATACCGTTTGGTGAATCTGAGTATAAGGTACGCAACCCTCGTCGGCATATTCACAATCTTTACAACGTTGTTAACAAGAGACTTGTGGACGATATTTTCAACACCTCCATGGGACAGATGGACGCCCGGTGACAGAACGAGTTGCCGGATTCGAGGATCACCGTGTCCTCCCTCTCTCATCGGACCTCGGATAATCCTTCCAGCTTCAGGATCTTCTCGTCAGTCCCCAGGGCGCGTGCGTTGTATGTTGCCAGGTCGAGTCATCGTAGGTGGCAACCGAAACTCCACTGGAGATTCTTAGCACCCCCTGCCCGCCGTTACCATGATCGCTACCGTAGCCAGGAATAGCGGGGCCGTCGGGGATAGACGACCGTCTATTTGCGTCGTTGCTCATGGGGGGTATATTGCCATAGTTGCCACGCTTGGCGAGCGACACCCACGGGAAGATATGGGGTAGTGATCTATATTCTATTCATATATATATATCAAAGAAATATTAAATAAATCTATAACGCATTTATCACAAACGCATTTAATTGTTTTTGAGAACTCTCATAGTTGATTTTATAATTGGTTCATTGGGTATTCACATTGTAATCATATAGAGAGCAACTTTTGAGGAATAAATCTGCGTCGTATTTCATTAATCAAGAAGCGAATCCTATAGATACGACCCTGTTTCTAGTTTAGTAGTACACATGGAGAAGTGTCAGCTTGTAAAATAGGGGGCGCAGCATGGTGCGGGAGTGCGGCACGTACCTCCTTCTCCCAGTCGTAGGGGTCGGAGTCGCGGATGCCGCGGCGCTTGCAGCAGCGCTCGAGCAGCGCCTGCAGCATGCAGTAGTCGGGCGCATCCGCGTACTCCAGCTGCTGCACGTGCTCCAGGAACTGCCGCAGCTCCGATGGCAGGTGCTTCAGCAGCAGCCGGTGGTCGTACTTCTCCTTCATCAGTCCCACCTGGAACAACCCAGCAAGGCACACGTCATTGATTGCACCTAAGTTCACCGCCGTTTTGAAGTGAAAAATTCTTTAGTCGTTGATTTAAAGCTCGATGAAACAAAACAGCAACACTAAAAAGAGACAAAGATATACATCTACAAGATTTAGCCTGCGAGGGAATGAGACAGAATATTCTAGTAAATTAATTTTGTTTAGGCCATCTACCGTCTATTTTTCGTACTACTACTACTTTGAGTGTGAGACAGAATATTCTAGTAAATTAATCTTCTTTAGGCCATCTACCGTCCATTTTTCGTACTACTACTACTTTGAGTGTGAGACAGAATATTCTAGTAAATTAATCTTGTTTAGGCCATCTACCGTCTATTTTTCGTACTACTACTACTTTGAGTGTGAGACAGAATATTCTAGTAAATTAATCTTGTTTAGGCCATCTACCGTCTATTTTTCGTACTACTACTACTTTGAGTGTGAGACAGAATATTCTAGTAAATTAATCTTGTTTAGGCCATCTACCGTCTATTTTTCGTACTACTACTACTTTGAGTGTGAGACAGAATATTCTAGTAAATTAATCTTGTTTAGGCCATCTACCGTCTATTTTTCGTACTACTACTACTTTGAGTGTGAGACAGAATATTCTAGTAAATTAATCTTGTTTAGGCCATCTACCGTCTATTTTTCGTACTACTACTACTTTGAGTGTGAGACAGAATATTCTAGTAAATTAATCTTGTTTAGGCCATCTACCGTCTATTTTTCGTACTACTACTACTTTGAGTGTGAGACAGAATATTCTAGTAAATTAATCTTGTTTAGGCCATCTACCGTCTATTTTTCGTACTACTACTACTTTGAGTGTGAGACAGAATATTCTAGTAAATTAATCTTGTTTAGGCCATCTACCGTCTATTTTTCGTACTACTACTACTTTGAGTGTGAGACAGAATATTCTAGTAAATTAATCTTGTTTAGGCCATCTACTGTCTATTTTTCGTACTACTACTACTTTGAGTGTCAATCACACAGTCTACCTGATGGTAAGTGGATGCTGTTGCCCTTAGACATCTACACTTATCCTCTATTAAAAATCAAACTACATAAGCGTTGTCACCCCTGAGGACTTAAAAGAAATGTCTGATTTCCGATAAAAGGGGTCTCTGGTTCTCCATACTCACCATAAGAAACATATCAACATTAAGGTGCGTTCCTAATGTAGTAGTTATAGTATTGTGGGAGAGAGTGAGATGCCATTCATTTTATATTTCACGCGTATCTTGCCAAATTCTCTATATACGTAAAATAATAATTTTTATTCCAATAACTTTGACTTCTAATGAATTTTCAAGAAATGAATTTACTAATGGTTACATTAATTTAATTTTTAATACAGCAGTATGAAGCAGTGTTACCTGCTCCTTGTCTTTTATCTTGCGCCAGGGCAGCTGTCCGTTGACGAACTCCACCAGCATGTAGAACAGCGACCATAGATCGTCGTGGCGCCCCATCTCCTTGTTCTTGTGCGCGTTAATGGACGCATACCGCACCGTGCCTGCGATCATTTCAGCCGTCTTGTAATCCTTGGATTTATATTTGAAGTTGCATTGTTACTACTGACTTATACAAAATAAAATCTCTTAACACTGCTGCTTCACCACTGGCCGAGGTCCAGTTTCAGTAGTGAAGCAGCAGGATGAGATTTTCAAGTAAACGTAAGTATGCTATAATTTACGTTGCAATACTATTCGCTCCGCGCAGCCAGATCACACCAACCCATGGTAAACAACGTCTGCAGCCCACAGACCTTTGTAACCAACTTAAGACAAAGAATGCCATCCATACACAGAGATATGTTGACGCCTCGAAGGACTGCGTAAGCTCTGGAATACCCCTATGCTGGCTCTCTGTTCTCTTTAGACCAGGAACCCAAAACAGCAACAAAGGTGAACATACAAATTCACTATCAACTGGTAAAAGACGTTACTTCCCATCGTCAATGTAGGCAGATGAATATTGAAATAAAAAATGTGTTGATGTTTGACAGGTGATATGTTAATAACGGTTACTGTTGCAGCCTATCAAAATTCCTCTGATACACATAGGCCTTCTTAGTATGCACATAGGGGCCATAGTTGCCAACCAAAGATTTTATTGTTTTGAGTTGTTGTCAGGAAAATGTTGCTACTCGTATATCTTCGGTTTCAGTGAGTCCGTCGCCTCATACGTCACCCACGTGACGACGTGCGGAAGTGGGTATTGTTGCACCGTCACTACTCGGTTAACACTAGGCCTGGATGCTACATATCCTAGTTACTACGGTTTTATCACATCGTATATAGCACTACATTTAATTGATTGAATGGGGTATTAAGGGATACAATATTTTTTTACAATACCACTACATGGTAAAATCAATTGCTTACGTTAAAATTAAGAGTTTCCATTTCATTATATTTATATATATATAATATATCAACGTTGTTGGGGGGGGGGGGGGAGGCGCATTATTTACATATAGAATTTATACATTAATAGTTTCAGCGTCATCTACTAGGACACTTATAAAATATTGTGAAATGTGATATGTGTGATAGAATTCGGCCTAATTTACGACGTTGGCACATTCTTTTTTTTTTTAAAGAATATTAACAATGCTATAAACATTATTAATATTCCCCTTAACCACTCGTGGTAAGCTTAAATTGCTTGTGTTACGAGTGGTTTGCGCCAGTAGTCGAATGGCGGATTCGAACCCACGACCTTTTTGAGTTCGCGGTCCGCGCTCTGCCATTAGGCTACTGTATTTCAAAATATGGTACTTATACCAACAAAAAAAAGTTTTCTTTTTTGATATAAGTACCATATAAACATTACCACCTACAACTACCTACAACTCAAAGACCAACATGAGGCTAAGATACTTCAACACGCGTGTGTGTGTGTGTGTGTGTGTGTGTGTGTGTGTGTGTGTGTGTGTGTGTGTGTGTGATGGTAGTGCCGCGTACCTCGGAAGCCGGCGGCGGCGCGCAGCGGGCGCCCCTGCCCGTTGCTGGTGGTGTACTGGCGCGCCAGCCCGAAGTCCAGCATGTACACGCGCCGGCAGTAGTTCGACTGTGTGTGTGTGTGTGTGTGTGTGTGGGTGTGTGTGATGGTAGTGCCGCGTACCTTGGAAGCCAGCGGGGGCGCCCGGTGGGCGCACCTGGCCGTTGCTGGTGGTGTACTGGCGCGCCAGCCCGAAGACCAGCATGTACACGCGCCGGCAGTAGTTCGACCTGGTGTGGTGTCTGTGTTTTGTGTGTGTGTGTGTGTGTGTGTGTGTGTGTGTGTGTGTGTGATGGTAGTGCCGCGTACCACGGAAGCCGGCGGCGGCGCGCGGCGGACGCACCTGTCCGTTGCTGGTGGTGTACTGGCGCGCCAGCCCGAAGTCCAGCATGTACACGCGCCGGCAGTTCGACGGGTGCCGCCCAATGCTGAAGTTACTCTGTGGACCAACTCACTATGTCAACCCACTTCGAATAAAGGAGGTACGCAATTTGTCTCTACTTATGTTTATTTTGTTTGAACGTTGCTTTCACACTAAGCCACTGCGCCACGGAGATACAATTAGAAACAACGGTATAACATGTTGCTTTTAAAATAATAATACTTACAGGTTTTATATCTCTGTGCAGAAAACCGACCGAATGTATTGAATCTATTGCCTTTAATATTTGCAGACCCAACCTGAAACAGACAATACTCTACTAAAATTTTGCCATATCTTTGTTCTAAACATAATTAAATTGATGGATTAAAATAAAATAATACCATGTCGAAAAATGTGTCATCGGCTTTAGGGCACAATTTTATTTTACATTCAATCCGTTCTGTAAAATTTTAATAAAAAAGAAAGGGTGCTAACCTTTCTCTTTTATCTCTTTCTTAAAAAATCACATATATAGCATAGCAGGTACTAGTCCTGGATTTGTATAATAATAAAAGATAAATTAAATAATGACTGTTGGTGCCACAATAAAAAGACGTTCGACCCGTATAATACATATATAATTCTGCATCTCTCGAGCTAAGTATTCATCCTTTATGACAGTCTAACAAGTTCACAGCGAACAGGCTTTTCCCGTGAACTGCGTACGTAGGATCAGTCTGTTTCTCCTCTTTGTCTTCTCGGCCTCTGGCAGTTGATTAAGGGAGTTACAAAAAATTCAGTGTAACGTAGTGCGCAATGTATTAACGTAATGTCCGTCTTGTAGAGTACATAAAAGTCTTAGGTTGTAAATGGCGACCTGTAACTTACTACGAGTAATAACCGACCCGAGTTAATATCTATCGAGGGAGCAAAAGCAAGAGAAGGAGAAGGTGACGTTACCGCAGCGTGGTGGAGAGTGAGAAGGCGCCGCGAGGCTGTGCGCGACGTAGTTCCGCTAGATTCCGTCCCTGCAGCTGCATCACCACGTAGTTGAAGCGAGCATTGCGTCCACACCCGATGAACCGGCACACGTGCTCCTTGCCTGCCCAAAACCAAAACAAACCCATTGAGGTAATATGTAATATTAATAATAATAATGTCCTCCAGACGGAATTTCAGCACGGCGGCCAATCTCAACAGAGTCTAGGACTACGGAGAGTTCAGGCGCAGGACCTACGGCTTTACGTGCTTTCTGCTACTGAGAATTTCTTGCCGGCAAAACCGTATACTGATATTGGCCCGACCCGCCGCGATTCGAACCCGGGACCCTTGACCAGCAACCGCATTTACGACCACTAGGCCAACGAAACAGTCCAATACAACAAGTAATGTAATTATTGTTGTTAATGTATTACGTACAAGAAAAGACACCGCAAACAAAATCTGTGCAGCAATACGAGGCACGTGGCAGGATGCACAGAGTACCTTTTTATAGAACAGTGTGACAATGTCTAATAAATCGATGAACGCCGGCTGCACGCACCAAAAAGGATGACTCATTGTAACGTTACACTCATTGTGACGTTACGATCGGAGCGAGAGCGCTGCACGAGCGAGCTAACGGCACGGTCGGCTTGAGCATAAAAGTAAATTTATTAATTAAATTGAAGATTTTATTTCACTCCTTCTTTGTCAATGTTCATCAATCATGTTTGTCAATCATTTCATCAATAAATGTTAAACTATCGTCCGTAAGCCGACTTTATAGACAACCAATTCTTGATATATATATATATATATATATATATATATATATATATATATATATATATATATATATATATATATATATATATATATATATATATATATATATAATCGGAATCTCGGATACGGCTCCAACGATTTTCATAAAATTTAGTGTCCAGGGAGTTTCGGAGGCAATAAATCGATCTAGCTAGAATTAACTTTTAGAAAATGTCTTTTTGTCCGTGTTTTCAGTGATTTCAATTGATTCAATGAAAAACTGCTATAATATAAAAAGGTAAATCTTGACACTGTGTTAATGATCGTATTCAATGAAAAACTGCTATAATATAAGAAGGTAAATCTTGACACTGTGTTAATGATCGTAATAGCTCAAGTGGATATCGAGCGGTCGCGAAATCGCAATGCCTCGGTTCGCGTCCTATCTTGGGTCCGACTTTTTTTCCTTCTTTTTTAAGTTCCCTTCTTTTGTGAGAAAATCTATTATTTCAAGCCCTTTTTTTAGTATTTTTTAAAAATAGGAAAATTTTAATTAAACTAATTGCACTCATGATTTTTATTCAAATAACCAGTTCACTTTTTTCTATTATGTCAATAAGATCAAAAAATATTATTTATGTTTCATCAGTATGTAATTTGTATCTAAATGTATTTTCAAAAAAACCAACCCTTTTTTTTTGAAATTACAACGAAAGGAGAGAGTATAATAGTACCGTCATCCAGGTACTATTATAATCTCTCTTTGTCCTAGACCTTCTTAACAATTGTAGTACGCCGCATTCCATGCCAGCATCACAATTTATCCAAGTTCGCTAAAAAAAATTTTTAAGGAGCAGTATATATGGCAAAATTGTATCCACCCGTCCGTCAATGCAATTTCATTACGTTTTTTTGTGCCAGCCATCACGGTGTGTTTTTATAATTTTTGTTGTAAAAATTAAATATGTTTAGTGTAAAATCAAATGTTTTGTATCCAAAACCTACTACAAATAAATTTATTACGGATCTGCTTGGTAATAATTGGATTATATACTTGGGAAAGGAAGATATTCAAAATGGAGCCAACCGATTAAAGGTAAACAAAAATCATATTGTTCGAGGTAGGTGCACGTGTATACAAAATAAATGAAGTTGAAACACTTATTAAATAATAAAATCAGATTCACTGTGTGCATTTATTAACAAGTATGATAAATTATCGAACAAATTCACTATTAACGTTTAATAACATAACCCGTCACCTCGTCACTCATATAATACGAAATAGTAAATAGGTACTTTTAACCTATAAATGTGGATTGAGATACATTGTACAGAGATACGTTGAGAAATTTTAAGTGATATATATTAATGTTTTTCTTACTTTCATTTACTTACGTAGCGGGCAGTCGCCATTATCAGTCATTGGAAAAGATTACTTTTGATATGCAGGTAGTTTCGCTGAGTATTAAAGAAATAGGTACAGGATAATACTGAGGAGATAGGGATGCAAAAGCAACCACTATTGGCTTGAAACTGCGGGGAAAAATGTCTAACATGAGTTATATAGATGCTATATACAGACCGTTATAACTATCACTTAGAATACATACATGGATTCATGTATATATAATTAAATGAGAATGAAAAATACTCAGGCTGAAATGCCATCAACATCTTGTTGGACAGGATTTTCTGGTAGACATTATGCGGTGCAGAGGTAGTAGCAATTACTGTAGCCTTAAAATTGTTGGGAAGAATATCTAGCATAAGTTATTTAAAATGCTATGTACAGACCAATATAGCTATCATTTATGAGGATAGACATGGTAACTGTTTAGACCTTAGCGCTATCACTTAGAAGGTAGACAGGTCTTAATTCACATATAAGATGCTACCATTAGTGGAAAGACATTAAGATGGACTACGACTTGGAAGAAATCACTGCAGGCTTTAAAGCGTTAGAGCTATCACATAGAGGATAGACACGTTTGTCTATTCAAATCTTAGAGCTATCACTTTGAGGTTAGACATGTTTGAATTGAAAGTAATACCACTTGAAGGAAGACATTAAGGTGGACTATGACTCGGAAAAAATCACTGCAGGCTTTAAACTGTTAGAGCTATCACATAGAGGATAGACACGGTTAACTATTCAGACCTTAGCGATATCACCTTGAGGTTAGACAGGTTTTAAATTAACATTAAAGCGCTGTCACTATAAAGTAAAATATTGTGCGGTACTGGGATTTAGAAGCAATCAAATAAAGATAATTAGTGGTATAATTTTTATTACAAAAGGGCTCAATATTATGAGTATAAGATAATGAAAAACTTGTTACAAGTTATAGATGTAAAAGTACTAGAAAGTCTTATATCAGGGTTTGGCAAAAGAAGTCCAAAAATTGTCAACATAAGTGAACCCCCACATGATCACCGGACATCAAGGTAGCAAAATATATACCAATTACCAACATACCAATAATTTAAAAATTGGGGCAGCGGACCCGGAAATTATATAAGTATTAAGTTTATTTGTAATCTCAGGGAGATTACAAATAAACTTTCTTTAGTAATCAGAAAATCCTGATTAGGGAAAGAAATAAGTAAAAACTTATGGTAAAGTATAAACTTATGGTTTTATTAATGGTATGTAAACCTTTAAGGTCCACAAAAAATTGGCAGCACAAATATGAAATAATAACTGATTTCTGGGACAATATTATCTGGTGTTTAAGGGAGAGTCAGTTTACTAATCCTTAAAATTATTAATTCCCAAACAAATGAGATTTAATAGATGCATTTTTAAATCTAAAGACAGTATATTATTACATATTATTTTGTAAACACATTAAAAAAAGCTACATAATATGACACCCCCCTATCAGGCATTCTGGGGAGGGGGTAGGCCTATGTGCAGCTGTGGACTTTTATAGACTGCAATGGATGGATGCATAATATGACATGAAAGTAAGAAAAAATGCGATATGAGAACTGTTTTACCTTGATATTGAATATCAAAAGGTTACAAGTTTAAATAGGCTTAAAATATAAGTAAGCAAAAAGTAAGTAAAAAATAAGCATTTAGGCTGTTTAGAAAAATCTGAAATATTGAATCAAACCTATTATTCAAATTATATCCCTTGTGATATATTTGGCTCCACGCGGTGCTAATGAAACCAGATTTGACAGATATGCAAAAAAAAATAGTATTGTAAGAATCAGATTGAATTACAATAAATTTGTTAAATTATTAAAGAGTAATAAAAAGAAGAAGAGAAAATTTTTCATGACTTAGATTATTATCAATTTTAAAAAAATTAACAAAATATAAATAAAAAACTCAGTAAAGAAGGTAAACAATAAATTATTATTATTGATATAATAAAACGAATATAATATAATAATTATTATACACTAAATTAATATAATAAGTCGAGAAAATAATATAGAGAAATTTCTGCTGATAGGCATTTAAAAAAATCTAGACCATGATTAATTAATTGAAATTAAACATTGGCACATTGATGCATTCGAGCTGTATTATGTAACTTAATATAACCTAAGTTACAAGAAAGAAAGAAGTGTTAGCATCATTAGGTTTTAAATAGAATGATGAGTTGTAAATGCATCAATGGCCTACAGCGGTACATAAAATATCAATCTGGGAAAATATAAAACTTACAAACTTCACTAATTAAAACAGTGGTAAATTAAACAATTAAAATTAAGTAAAATATTTTCCTATTGTAAGATATTAAAAGGTTATGAAGAGTTAAAATAAGTAATATGTAAAGGAATTAGTAAATATGGTAAGTAATAATTTAAAAAATAAAAAATAAAGATGGATTTATTCAGTAAAATTAAGTATGGTAGGTATGATAACCTACCATGTTATTATTATTACCTTCATATACTAAAACCAGGTATGGTAAACGCAAACCAAAATATGTCAGCCACAAACATAAAATTGTTGTAGTAAGAGGAAATTATGTAAAAATACTTAAGAAATTTATAAAAATTTTATGATATAAATAGTGACTATTTATATATTTGTACATAACCCATGGAAGAAGCCAATGGAATGAGACAAAATTTGGGTTTTAGTCCTTCATTGAGAGGAAATTACATAGATATTATTGAATATGATAAGATGATCAGAGATGGCATAGATATTATTGAATATGAAAGTAGTATATACTTATAATTTTGGAAATGATAGAATACAATATAAAACTTAAGCAAAACAATATAGTTATAGTGAATAATAAACTTACTACAACTAAATAATACTTATGGTGTACAATTTTACTCAGAGTTGATAAAACCCCAGCTTCGTATATTAACAAGATAGAG